TGAGGAGCCGAGCTCCAGCCCTGGCAGGGTGTTCAAGAGCAGGGCAGGGACAGAAGCGGGAGTAGAGGCGGATGGGATATGATCAGCTGCTCTAAGTACTGAATCAGTAAAATCTTCTATCTGCCTGTAAGGACAGGATGGAGAACTAATATTGCACTTGGGTTACCTTTTCCTACTTCCCCTGAAACTGCTCTGGCTGTGTGAATTTTGCCTGTTTCTGATAATTGGTGCATTAAAGCTTGGTTGACTCACAAATATATTGAAAAGTTAGATGTGCTGAGCTGCTCCCGCTGTCAGTTACAGGTGAGTGGTGGAGCGCAGAGAAGATGAACTACTTTTAAGCCTAACCTTCACTGTTTCCTGGTAGGATGGTGAGGATTGTCCTGTGCTATACAGCTAGGACTGCCATTGCTCATCCTGCATGAGTGCCATCCCAAATGGCAAGCCATTTGGGCACAATGGATACAGGGGAGGTGACATTTAAATACTAATACGGTTTGTTAGGAGTTTTTCTTTTTCACCCCTGTGGAAGCTAGTGCCCTAGTCACACAAGGTGCCCTGATCGCTGTAGGTCAGCTTCCCTTCACAGACCTCTCACATGTGTGACTTGAAGGAGAGCGTCCTTGTGGACTTGAACAATTTATTTTTGAGTTGAGGAGAAAAAAGGGTCTTTTTCAAGCAGACTGTGACATGCTCTTCCTTTGGGAAAAACCTGTGGTGTCTCCTCTGAACAGCAGGCTGTTCCAGTAATCCCGCTTCAGCCAGCGGTGCCAGGCACAGTGGAAGAAAATTTACCCCTTTGAGCTCTCAGCTGCTTTTCCCTCAATGGCTTTTTATTGCACCATTGTTCGGTTTACTCTGGGCTCCTCTCTGTGTTGATAGGCATGTAATGGCTACAGCAGAAATATGTGGCTGCCTGGGAGGCAACTGTGTTTCTGGGCCGTACTGCCTCTGGGCGAATTAAAACCTTTTTTTCTAAGCCTCAGTTCAGATGCTGTGCCCTAAAGGACAAAATGTGCTGATGGCAATTACAGAATAGCCAGGTGCCAAACATAGGTGAGTCGCAGCTTAATGCATACTGCTTGTCCCGCGGTGAGCTACCTCTCAGCACACCCAATGTGCTGTGAAATCAAGCTCGCTTCCACAGCTATGCCAACAGACCTCTGATACGCAGATGACAGGTCTTCCTCTCCAGTTACCTTCTTGGATATTAAAGGACTTTCTTCCTCTGCAGACTTTCCTCTAATAGGAGCTGACTTCTGTGGAGTCCTTGATTCACTGTCACTGTAATCTGTAGCTGGCCAGAAATATCTATGTGGGAGGGCAGGTTAAACTTTTCACCCTCTGTATTTCTGGTGATTAGAGTCTTCAGCCTTTGTGCCTGGATTCAAGTGGTAAAGAGAAACAGAAGATTGCATGAGTAGCCCTGTGTGAAACAGGAGGCTAAGGACTGGCATTAATTTCCTCTCGCTCGTTTGCATTGGCTCCATCTTTGGCAGCGCGTGCCGGGTTAGTAGTTCTTGCTTTGTCTTGGCCAATGCAGTGTCTGTTCCCATGGAAATGTGGGTGGAAGTGGCAAGTGTCAGCAGAGAACTTTGTCTGGATCAACTTCTGCCGAAGTGCCAGTGGGCAGATGTTGTCCACAGTCTTCCCTCCTGCCCTTGCTTCGCTGGGGAATTATTTGGTTTGGAGCTCTTGAGGCATGCATCAGTTTGCATTTATATAGTAACCCTGACACAATAAAATGTCAAGTTGGGTTGAGGTCTTTTGAGGGCTGCTCTAGAGGTGGTGAAATAATGACTGAGAAGAGGCAAGTTTTATGATTTCTGTTATTTTCACAGTTATTTTCCCATTTGGGAAAATAACCTCCCCTGTATCCATTGTGCCCAAATGGCTTGCCATTTGGGATGGCACTCATGCAGGATGAGCAATGGCAATCCTAGCTGTATAGCACAGGACAATCCTCACCATCCTACCAGGAAACAGTGAAGGTTAGGCTTAAAAGTAGTTCATCTTCTCTGCGCTCCACCACTCACCTGTAACTGACAGCGGGAGCAGCTCAGCACATCTAACTTTTCAATATATTTGTGAGTCAACTAAGCTTTAGTGCACCAATTATCAGAAACTGGCAAAATTCACACAGCCAGAGCAGTTTCAGGGGAAGTAGGAAACCCATTTGGGTTGTTTGGGCCCTTCTCAGGGGGCTGTTCAGATGCCTGCAGACAGCACCCATTTCAGCTGGGTGGCTGTGAGAACAGCAGCTGATGGAGCTGCTGGTGCTCTTGAAACCCTTGAGTATCGTTCTTGCCTCCTTCTTCCTGTCTTCAAGTTGGCAGGTATTGCGTGGCTGTGGTGAAAAGAAAGGGTTTTGTAAGATGGTCTAATGTTTTTCACCCATCTGCCGTTCCCCAGGTTTTCACTTGAGGAGGGTAAGTCTCTAAAACCTGATACCATCGACTGCTAACTTCAAATCTGTTGAATGAGTCGAGTCAGTCCTACTATGACTGTTTTGTTTTTGTACTCAGAGTTTGTAATTTGAAAATGTTGTAAAAATATTCTAGGTGTTTTTCCTCATTGAAGCAGGAGTCAATGGCCAAGTCCTTTGGCTCTGTGCCCTATTTGTGAAACAGACTCTTCTTTCTGAAACGGTGTGAGTGAGTTTACTGTGTCTTAGACCGCAGCAGGTCCAGACCTGTTTTGCCACAGGACCCAGGTTCTGGGGCTTTGGCTGCCTCTGCTTCTGCTCCAGTAGTGCCTCCTCCTGGTCAGAGCAAGGAGGGGAGACAGGTCTGACGAGGGTATAAGTGCTAACGCTGCTTAGGGAGTTAGGCACTTCAAGACTATATAAAGTGTCTCTTCCATGTGCCCCAGAAATTAACCCTTCCTCTCACTGTTTTGTGCTTGAAACCCAGCTTCTGACTACGGTATGAAGCTGCCAATCTTGCGGTCCAATGCGGAAGATCAGATTCTGTACCAGACTGAGCGTTACAATGAGGAAACCTTTGGCTATGAAGTTCCCATCAAAGAGGAGGGTGACTATGTGCTGGTGTTGAAGTTTGCAGAGGTCTATTTTGCACAGTCTCAACAGAAGGTAAGCAACAGATGCTTGCTTGTCTCTTTGCAAGTTCCTGGCTAAGACTGTGTGTGTCCAGGTTGCCTCTGCTGCTTTGCGTGCTGGAGAAAGGAGTGAAGTAAGGCTCTAACGGTTAACTTCATTCCTAGAGCTCTCATGGGCTCTGAAACTTCAGGCTCTCTTCCACATTCCAGATACACGGTTGGCCTGGAAAATTACATTACCAAGTATTCAAACAAACATGTGCAACTAAACTTAACTAGCACTAGAGTTTTATGATCTGTTTAGGCTGTGCTGGCTTTGAGAAGTGGTTTTGCCTTTTTCCTGAACACTGGTTCTGGACCTGACGGCATGCTTGTGCCAAAGGAAGTATTGCACAGATTGAATCAAGGAAGTGATCTGGGTTAAATGACCTACTCAAAAAAAAAATTTTTATGGATGTGATAAGACTTGATACTGGTTCAAACTGATCCCGAAAGCACAGAGTTAAATTCAACCCTCTTTATTGCTCTTTAGAGAAGAATAATCCTTGCCCACTTTTGAAATCCCTCATGTACAAACGTGGAAGCAGAAGCACAAAGAACTCAAAGCCCTGTGATAAATTGGGAGAGAAGTGGTGTGCGTTTTAGTCTGGCTTTCCCCTGACTCCATCAGCTTCTTTAGAGCCCTGCTTCTTAAGCACTGTGCTGCCTTCCTGCCAGAGAAGTATTTCAGGGAACAGAACTGGTGGGGCTGGCTTACAGAATGGATGCAAAAAGCAGCCTCAGATTAAACCGAAGGGCTGAGGCATCTTTGGTTCCTCTTCCTTCATGTGGTTCTGCTGGGATTCCCCAGGTGCTGAGCAAAGTTTGAGTCATTATGGCTCTGAGGAGGACTTTCACTCTGAATCCACAGATGTGGTTAGCAGTCCAACATTTTACCTCCTTCAAACCCTGTGTACTTCACCAGCTTGTTTCCTCTTCTCTGCTCTGCTGCAGGCTGTTAGTTAGAAATGGCTTAACACCCTAGGGTGTGGTGTGCCGCAGCCACCCTGGGGTGGTAGGAGCAGGCCCTCAGCCGGTAGGTGGAAGAAAGTTGTAAAGGTATGAATAAACCAGAATAAAATTGTGCTGTCCTCAGTTCTGAACAGCAGAGATAGGGGTTATTTTAAAAGTTGATGGCAGATTGCCAGGTATTTGAAAGCAATGTTAATGTTCCAGTGTCTTTACCTGGCTGCTTTTGGGCTCTGAATCCTTCTCAAGGGAGTGGAGCATGCGTGGTGGGACAGTGCATGCTGCAATGCTTTCTGGTCCTGGGTGCATAACAAGCAGAGACCTTTCTTGTTTTGTTCCCCTTTCAACTGTCACGTGCCTGAATCTGTTCTGACACTCTGTCATTTCTTCTGCCCTGAAGGTATTTGATGTTCGCTTGAATGGCCATGTGGTGGTGAAGGACTTGGACATTTTTGACAGAGTTGGACACAGCACAGCTCATGATGAGATCATTCCCATGAGTATCAAAAAGGGGAAACTGAGTGTTCAGGGGGAGGTTTCCACATTCACGGGGAAGCTCCACATTGAGTTTGTAAAGGTAATAAGCTTTGCTGAGCAGAGCCCTGATCTTCCTTTTCCTCTTCTTCCCCATGTGATGGAGCTGTGTGCTGGGGGAGGAGATGCGATGGTAGGTGGGGGGAATATTTCTTGCCTCAAAGCTGCAGCACTGACTTCCTTCTTTGCTTTCTCTAGGGCTATTATGACAATCCGAAAATCTGTGCCCTATACATCCTGCAAGGAACAGTGGAAGGTAAGCAGAGTACAGTTTTTGAGCCAGAAGGCTCTTCCCGGTTGGAGAGCAGCCTGTTGCTTCTCAGACCATGAGATCATAGCTCTTGCTGACCCACCTCTGCCAAAACTGCTTCTCTCTCAGCAGGTTCCCACAGAGTGTAGTTGCAGAATGAAATAGGTGTGTAGTGTCCTCCTACTCCTCCAAGTGCACAAAGCTGCATCGTTTTTGGAATAAAAAAACCCGTTTGCTTCAGGACTTCCTGCATATGGTGTAGAGGAGAAGGGAACATGTCTGGTCAGTCTTAGCTTATAGATACAGCTATAAGCTGTAGATAAACTCCCTCTGGTCTTGGATGTCAGCAGCAGCCTTGCAGACAAGTAATTTACAGAGATCTTTTAGCTAGTAGTTAAGTGATTCTTACCTGGAGCTTTGTTTTGCCTTCTCAGCTCAAGGACAAGGCTGTGTTTTTTCCCAGGTACCAGTTCGTCTGGATAGCAGTGGGGAGTGCTAGTAAAGTCTTTGCTCTTTCATCACCCTCTTGTAAGTCTGTGCTGGAGTTGGAGCCCCCTTAGCTCCTGAACAAGGGAGGTTTAGGAACCTTCTCTGACCAAAGCATCAGTTTGCTTTACTATTGGTCAGGGATTGTCAAGTGTTGCTGAAGGTTTGGTGCATAACCTTGTGGCTGGGTGGCACCTTGCTGTGTGGTGACTTGCAATTCAGGCTCCAGGCTCAGAAGACTGGATTTGAGAGGGGTTGGGCCATGCTGCTCTGTTAGGTCTGGCGTTGAGGGGTGCACTGATGTGAGGTAGGATCATTTGTGGAAAGGGTTGTTCCCGTTCCTGTTTGCACCTGTATCTGCTGGTCCTGCAGGCAGCAGGTGCTTGTTCTTGACTACATCACACCGAGCAGCTGCGGTATCTGACTGTGTAGGCTCTAAGTGTGCTTTTGTGCTGTAACTTCTCCTGCGTGACAGGTAGATGGGGTGGGTGGATGTAATTTTCTTTGCAGACTGGGTCTTTCGATGCTCTTGCATCATGGAGGAAAGACATCGTGGTGTGAGCCTCTGTGAGGGAGGGTGCTCCTATTTCCTGGGGTGCTCTGGCCATGGTGTTGATATGGTGTCAGGTGCCCTGTTGCTGGTGTGTATGCTGGATGGGGGAGAGAGGAATGGAGTGACTTGGGTGCTTTCCCAGGTTACATCCTGCCTCCTTGCAAACTTTTGTCTCATCCAACAGATGTTCCAAAGCTGCAGCCGCACCCAGGTCTGGAGAAAAAAGAGGAAGATGATGATGAAGATGAATATGATGATGGCTCCAGTGTTAAAAAACAGGCAAATAAGAACCGGGTTCAATCAGGCCCACGCACACCAAACCCTTATGCCTCGGACAACAGCAGCCTCATGTTTCCTATATTGGTGGCCTTTGGTGTCTTCATTCCTACCCTCTTCTGCCTCTGCCGATTGTGAGAGCAAGCCCCACAGAGCATCAGCCAAGGGGCTGGGAGGGAAGGAGTTGGACCAAACATGGTTGCTTTCAATTTCTCCATATTGTTCATAATTTAAGGAAAACAAAAAAAGAAAAAAAAAAAAAAGATGATTCATTTGGAATGAATAGCAGGTCCAGGTAAGAGGGAGCTTACCTTCCCCCTGCCAGCAAGCAGCGAGGCCCTTGCCTTCCCCTTCGCACCATGTGCAGCCTCTGATCCTCCCTGGGGCATCCAAGAGTAAACCGAGTCCTGGCTGTCTGTGTATTGGGCTGTTGGAAGCTGATGCTAGAGGTCCTGGGCCATGTCCCACACTGAGAGAAAGCCATGTGCTGCAAGATCTCTGCCTTTGCTGGGTGCAATATGGTTCCTTAAGCAGGGAAGCAGCTCCTAAAACCAGGCCTGGGTATACGTTTTGTCTGGGAGCGTGGAAGTGTTGTGGTGCCGTTGGGTGACTAACGACTATGGAGGATGGAGCCTGGCTCAGCATCTCCCTGAATGTGTGCAACACGATGTATGGTACTCACCTGCATAAAGATACCAAGACTCCAGCTAGCCTCTCAGCCTCTCTGGAGACGTTCCCCTCCTAGGAGTGCAAGCTGTGCCAGGAGCAGAGGGATTTATCTGGCCTGATTTGCTGCACCAGTTGGGAGAGACTTTCCTAGCTTGACAATTGTAATGTTAGATCCATTGCAGAGGGAATCTGCTGTAGCCTGTGAGAGGCTGACATTGTTAGCATCTGATCAGATGCACTTATTTTCTGTATTGATTATGGCTTTTGTTTCCTTTAATATCCTTTTCTTTTCAAAGGTTTAATTTTAAGCCTGGCTCCTTGTTTTGCCCTTCCTAGCAAGTGACCTCTCCTTTGGAAGAAGCTGAGAATCAGATGACCTAGAGAGGAGGTTCTGGACTTGTTCCTTGGCCTTAACCGTTAGCTCCCCTCCCTGCCCCGTGACTGTGAACAACCTGTGCCGCAGGACAGAGTGGAGCAACCTCACAGTTGTTCCCTGTGAGCTCTCATTCCCTGTCGCAGGGGCCAGGCCTGCCCCTACAAGCAGTGAGAAGTGCAGTGGAGTTGGTTAGTGTCTTCAGTTAGCTTGGCCTTTTGCATTTCGAGGCACTGGGGTGAAGGGGCAGATGTCCAACATTTCAGTACCACAGAGCAAGGTGGTTTGTTGCCCTCCAGCGATCTGGAAGTGAGCAGAACACTGGAGACAAGGTCACCCGCTTTCCCTGGGGATATTTCTGCAAGAGGCTTCTGTTTCCACATGCAGAGCCTGTGCCTGCCTGACAGAGGCCGAGCAGAGCAAAAGCCCTCGCTGTGTCTACTGGAGGCCCTGAGGACCTGCCTTCCCATGGTCTTGGCCTCTGACATGTTGAGCACTTCTGGCTGGCGGGAGGGAGATGTTCTGTGTGCCGGAGCAGGATCTGGCCCAGGCGTGGCTGGGTCCTTGTGGGTCAGCTTCATCAATCCTGGTGAGCTCTGGGCTCACAGAACACTTTACCTCATGCTACCTCTGTTCTCAGAAGTCCTCTCTCTTTATCCAGAGCAGCTGTGCTGAGCGGTGTCCTTCTTGCTGCTGCTCCTTCCTGGGCCTGAGTTTTCCTAGCAGTTGTTCTTGGGTCTGATCCCCTGCGGTGGCTCAGCCTTTCTTTGAGCTGAGAAGGGTCAGCAGAATTCCCTAGTTTCTGGAAAGGAAACCTTTCTGCTCTGCTGGGCCCAAGGAGCTGAAGCCTTCTCTTCGTCCTAACCCTCAAGCTGTGATATGAGCTGTCAGCTCACGGGCTCCACAACGGGAGGTGGAGGAGGTGTCAAAGCGCTGCTCTGCACAGCAGTGGCACTGAACCTTGCTTTTCTGATTGCATACATCACTGCTATAGGTCTGACCCTAATTCTGTGTCTGAGCTAAAAAGCAAGCAGTAGGACCTTAATTACCTTCTCTCCAATGGCACAAGTGGTAACAGTTTGGGAGAAGCAGGAGGGTCTCTGCTACACTGGAAGGAGAAGACAGGCTTTAGAGAGAGCAGATCTTAAGAACAAACCTTAGGATAAAAAGGTGGTAAACTTGAAGTTGTTTGCTTTGTCTTCTAGCTGCTGCTAAAATCCTAGTACTTATAAAACTCTTATAAAATATGAGTTCTGTTTTGTTTGGTGACGGTGTCTGCAGAGATTCTCCAGCATTTTTGGGATTGCTCTAACTGGAGCACAGAGACATTTAGATCTTTATCAGTTCTGAGAAGCATGAACTGTGCTGATTTGTTAAGCAAAGAACCTGGGCTTGAAAGCAAGCTGCTCTGTAAGGAGCTGTTCTCCTCCAGGCCTTTTAGCTTGTATTTTATTTGAGCATCCTTGAAGCAAGGAATCATTCAGCTTCTTGTGGCTCACCCAGTAATCTCTGCACCTTGCCAAGCATGAGAAAAGGGGTGTGCATTTAGGTCTGCGAAAGTCAGAGACAAGTCTTCTAGGATGGTTTATCCCTGCCTCTCCTGGCAGCCAGTGCATTTGGCCATCAGCCACCCTAAGGTAAGGCTGTGCAGGGTGTGATCTGTTGTGTTCCAGTTGCTCAGTTCAAATGAATTTGTCTTACTTGAATAAGAATAGGGAGGAGGAATGGTTCATCCTTCATGGCTTCAATTTAGTTGTTTTGGCTCTGTTTTTATCCATGTTTGTCACTATGAAGCTGGTGTCTGACTGATTGGAGGGTTTCTGACCCCATTATGGTGCTATGAGCAATTTTCCTTGTTGGTCCATCCCTTCCTGACAGGGCTGCCTCAGAAGGAGCCTTCAAACAAAGTGTGTGGGAACACAGGAGGATGGTAGGGGATAACCAGCCAGCACCTTGCTGTGAATGCCATACTCAGGCTGGTTCCCCTTGTCATCCCTGGCACCTGCAAGCCAGCCAGATGGGTACAATGAGGCATCTGGTCCTACCCAGGGAAAGAAAAAGTTTGGGTTGGCTGTAGCTTTCCAGCAGACGTGTTTCAGGGAATATCCAAGACATTGTTTAACTGAGACCGGTTAGAGACAAGCCTGTTTGTGCTGTGTTGCCTCCAGCCAGCAGCAGGCAGATGAGGTGCGTGTCCCTGTGCAGCAGTGTGGGGAGCTGGGTCAGAACAGACCCTGGCTTGATTTGTGGAGCAGTTGTGTAGAGAGGGGCAGATAAGGCAATTTTAATAAAGCTTCCACTTAAAGGGGAGACAACACCGTCGATCGTGTTTTGGGCCTGGATCCAGCCTCAGGGTAGTGGTTCCAAAGCTTATTTTAGTTACCCCCTCATCAGCCCCTACTTTCGTACCTTTAAGTCAGGTCATTTTCCCCTTCTGTGTGTGTGACTAAAATAACGGCTCTGATCCTTTTGGGTGTCCCAGGTGGAAGTGAGCAGAAAACCAAATTAATTCCTGTCTCTTTTTGGTGCCTTTGTCTCAGGCCTTGAATAAAAGTCTATTTGATGAAGCTTCTTTTTTTTAAGGAGCTTCTGAGTGGTTTTTCTATTTCCCAAGGGACAGGCATTCCCTGCCCTTGTGATCAGCTAGGGACTGTCTCACTGTCCCTGGATGCCAGCTCCGGAGGTCGCAGCTGAAGCAGAACTGCGAGTGAGTGAGTATCTTTGGTTCCAGCCCTTGAGGTCAATGGAAAAAAAGCCTAGCAAGGGATAGAAGAACTGGAAGAGCTCCTTCAGGTCTGGTCTCCCCCAGAAATCTCCCGAAGGCGGGATGAAGAACTTCCAGACAGTCTGGTGCCTGCGTGTCTGTGCAGTTTGGAGCCGAGTGAGTCACAGCTGGGTCCTGGTAGTTGTATGGTGCTTACAGCTTCTGGGTGCAGAGTGTGGCTTGGGGGGGTCCTGCCCCCCAAACTCACTCGCCAAGGGCTTACCCTGCACTGTTTGGGTCTGAACAGGGAGCAGAGACCCGTGCTTTGTCCCTTGGCCTTCTTTTAAGTTGAAATAGGATTGCAACAGCCAGGGAAAAGTCTTGATATGGGAAGTCTGGGCTGAACAGGCCTGTCTGATGGAAAACAGCAGGAGGAGGGAGAGGACCAGCAGAGCAGCTTCAGCCCTTGATATGAGACAGATTCTGAGCAGCTGCGAAGTACCAAGTGTTTCAGGCTCTGCTTGGTGCTCAAATGTGGGAGAGATCCGTCTGCTTCTTGCACTTATGTGGCAGGGAGGGAAATATCCTTGCTGAGAACCCAAGGGAAATGGGAGTTGGGCCAGTGCTGAGCTAATTTACCTACTGGCGCTTCTGCATCTCCACAACAAATGCCAAAGTCTAATACAATTCAAGGATGCTTTTTTTTTAACGTGAGCCTGGTTCCACCAGTCTGTCTTCACTGGCTAGTCCCAAATAGGCTCAGGCAAGTATTTCAATGGCACAAACACACCACCAGGCTGGAGCTGTGAAGGCTGAGACGTGATTACATGAATAGGCCTCCTGCGCTGCACCCCTGCTTCGTGCGCTGCCCAGCGGGGCTGGGGCACGTGCGTTTCACCTTGGATCCAAACAGTTTTGTCCCAGGAGTATAGTAGCAACTGCTTTGAAATGGTGCTGGGCTGGACAGGAAAGGTGAAAGCAGGTCCATGTCTTCCAGGACTCTGGCTTGCTCAGAGTTTATTGCTGTATATTAAATAATATTTTTGGAGATTGGGGGGAAGATGTGGGAGGGGGAGGGATGTGGCAGCGCTGTCCCCAGGCTGATCAGTGGGACACTGCTGCAGGTTATTGATAGGTTTTGATTTTTTTTTTCCCCAAAAAGTGCTTTATTTAAAAAAGAAAAAAAAAAAAGGAAAAAATAATCAACAAAACAGAAGTGCTTTCCTCCCTCCTAACAACAGTGCTGGCTGATTAGAAAATGTGAATAATCTTTTGCAAACATCAGAGGTCTCTGCTAAAGAGTTTGTGTGATGGAGATTTCAAGGCAAGGGGCAAAGTACAGCTTGAACCAGTTTAACCGGGGAGAGTGTGAATCTAGGAAACGCAGGATCTCTGCCCTGGAGTTGTTCCCAGTGACGTGTAGTGGGGATGTGCTTGCCTGTGCTACCATGGCTGTTCTGTCACGCTGTAACAGCTCCTGAGCTAGGGCGCTGGGGTGAAGCAGTGTCTGGAAACTTGCTGGCAAGTAGGGGCTTGAATTTTTCATGGTTTCTACAGGGCCTTCGTGTGTTCAGGGCTTTCCCACTCAAGACTGCGAGATGCCAGGCAGGTGACAGTGATGCCTGGGTCCCACTGG